GAGGACTTTTGTGGCCTTGCGAAGCTAAGGAAAGGTCGTTGTACAGCGCAGTTTCGTCTCTTTGATCTGCAAAGTTATTTATAAGAGATTCGCGAATCCCTAGCCAATTATCAGGGATGCCATTAGAATTTATGATTGAAGCCGCAGGTCCGGTGATTTTGTTCAAAATTCCGTTTAGTAGACATAAATTAGATAATTCACTACCGGGTTCAGAGCTCATGTAAGCTAATACAACCTGATCGCATATTTTAATAAATCTAGTGAGAATATTTGGATTACGAGTACCATCGAATTCTGGCACTGGGCGCAAGGCCTTGTATATTACATCGGGATCATGAGACATTTTAGAATTTAGTGAACTTAAATTTAATTCTTCCTCAATATTCCTTAAATTATCTAAATCTATATTTCGGCGAGACTGTCGAAAACCAGCCTCGCTAGGCCCCCTATTCTTTGGGTGAAAAATTTTGGACAATAAGGATAAAACTTAAAGGATAAAAGGAAAGCAACACAAAAAAGAAAGTTTTGCGTACTTACAATATCATTCTGGTTTCCTCCGCGTATCGATTTTCGGATACTCGTCCCCGGTGCTGCTGCCACGTGGTTCGGATACTAGATTAAGGCTTGAGAGCCAAATCAGCGTCTTTCAGCGCCAACCGAAATCTACCGATTTTTGGAGATTTTAACGCCGTGTACTGACTCTAATATCCTACCGACTGCGCCAATTACGTTAGCTGCAGCCGCAGGACTTAAAAAAAAACCAATTCTTAAAATATAAATTTATTAAAGAAAGATTACAATACTTTTATAACTAAAACTAAAATGATTAACTTGGTCGAAGTGTGACCTAAGAATGGCGAAATCCGATGCTAACTTGCAACGGGCGTCGGATTGTCGGCGCCTGCTGACTCGGCGCCTCGTGACACGCGGCTCCGTCGTGTGCACCTTTAAGTAGGTTACATGCTAGGCGATTTTAGTGTAGTGAAACTACGTAATTAAATAATGTAATTAAATAAAATCAAAACAATAATAGTTAAAGACACAGGTTTTTTATTAGGTGGAGTATCCTTGATGGGCGTAGATAATTGGTCGAGGACATATCAAAATAAAACAAATTTGTAAACACTGTTACACATTTTAATGAATAGAGTAGGTACAAGATATTTTAATAAATGACTACCTATCATTTATTAAAACAATTATTCAGACTCTGAACTAGATTCGCCAGAGCTGTCATCGCTATCAGTCACTTGTATGACAATTTCATTTTCTATAATGGTGTCCACTCTTATATCGCGTTCATAATCTTTTGTTATTAGTTTTCGAGTCTTTTCGACGACCTTGACCCAATCTTCTTTCGTTATTTTGCTGCAAGCATCTTTTAATAGACCCATCATTTTATTAGTACTGAATGGCGGAGTCGTATTATTACGAGCTGCGTAACCTGTAATGTAAACATTAAATAACGTTAATTTATTACATTAAATAAACGAAATGTTACACAATTACCTACATGTAAGGGACATGAGATATTTATTTCTAAGTTATGTATCTTTTTACTTATATGCTGAATATTGGATGTTATAATAGTACAAATTATTCATATTCATAACTTATGCGATAAAAAACAATACCTTTGATTTGTGCCCATATTAGCTCAATGGCATTGTACTGGCAGTGATAAGGCAGAATGTGAAGTACCCGATGTCCATGTGCTAGAGCTATCTCATCTACTTCATAACGGACTCTTGATGTTTTATTTTCGCGTACCAACTTTACTAAGTCAGACTTTAGCATTGCGGCAGTAGTTTCAATTCCATTTTGGTGTAGCCATGCTACGAGATCAGCTTTCTTGTCGGCCTGAGTAGGCGATTTATTCACTTGTTTCGAGTGATATGAAGCGTTGTCCATTATTATGATAGAAGGCTCTGGCAGGCTGGGTAATAATTGATTTTCGAACCAATTCGTAAAAGTGTCTGTATCCATCTCCTCGTGGTAATCGGAAGTACTTTTTGACGCGAAAGCCAGCAGTCCATTTTCAAAGAAACCACTTCCAGCAGAACCGGCGTGACAAATTATCAGTCGCGATCCTTTTCCAATTGGAACCTTTGATGTTGATGCTTTTGTTTCGTCAGCCCAAGAGCGTGACACAGTGTGGTTCGCATTTAACCATGTTTCGTCAACAAAAACGACGTTGTCCCAAGACTCGATTTTTCTGGCTTCTCTTAAAAACTCGCTCCTTTTAATTATTAAATCAAATATTTCCATTAATATTTTCCTTTTATTCGTTTTCTTATATTCAAACCCAATTTCGTACAATAGTTTTGACAACGCCGTTTTACCGCCTTTAAACAAGCTAGCTTCTTTTAAAGAGACCAAAAGCAAACGTCTAGTTGGAAACTCGTTCCTAGTATAATAACCATATATGTGGTTTCTTATTGCATCTGCATCAAAAACATCAACACATGTCACGGGCTTTTGTCTTCGTTTTTTCTTAGGAGTGCGTAAAACATTATCTTCACTTCCAGAAGCACCAAATTTTTCTTTATTTATATTATATAGTGTTTTTGCACCAATTCCAAGAGCTTGTGAAACCCGATCTTTCACTTGAGTGACAGGAATCAAAGGGCCGCCATTTTGTGACTCACGCTCAAGGTAATCCTGTAGCTTTAGTACAAGCTCACGACATTGACTATTCAATGTTTTTCCTCGTTTCGGCATTTTCAACAAAATTACCAAACACAAACAAAATTAGTCTAATAAAGCGCAACGATAAACAGGAGAAAGCCGAGTCAAAAAACAACGGTTACACAAGAGAAGATAGTCTGTGCGCACGAGAGTACGGAAGACGACTAAACAGATTAAAATAGCGGTGGTAAGGGTGTTGCCAGAATAGTATCGCCAATTACTTAAAAAAATACACCTATAACATTGCTTAATTAAGGGAGAAAATTATATTTATTAAATGTTGTTTTATATATTATGAATGTTAAAAATTATACATAATCATTTTAATTGTATTTATTTTTAAATCATAGAAAACAGTATTTCTGTCTTTGGATCACACATAAATCTTAAAAATCATAGAGATACTGGCAACACAGTGCAATTAGGAGACGCAAAAAAATGGTAGCATTATAGTCTAGTTGCTCGAAGGAATAAGTAAAATAAAAATATGCAATAAAATAAATATCATTTCTATTCCAATGAATTCGGACCGCATACTATCAAACACATCACTATGAAAACTAGACGCACCATGTAACTTTGTACAAGCGCGCCAAAGAACAAAAAATAAATGTTTTCATATTATTTACAAACTATTTTACGTTTTGAAACAGAGTTTATTGGAAAATTACTTGATTCTGACATTTTGACATAAAGTTTTATATTGAACAGGTATTCTAAATCATTCGGCAAATGTGTCGCTCGTGCAAGGTTATATCGATTAATTTAAGAATAATCTGTCAAATCGGTAATAACTCAGCGGCCGTACTATAATGGTTCATATCAAAGTTGACGTAGCTCTCGGACTAAGCGTTCATTGAAAATATCACGATTCGATCCTGGCCAGCACCAAAAAAAATTTTATTGCAATTAATTTTTTTATTATTATTTTTATTATTTTTCAAAACTTATAATTTTTGAATGATATTGAATGAAGAATTATAATTTTTTAAAGATCTCTTTGCAACGTGTTTGGCGATGAAGGATAACATTATAAATAAATCTCCGTGTCTTAGAAAAACAATATATCAAAGAAATTGTGTAAAGTCCGACAACGGGCGTCAAGGTGGACCATTGCTCCATAATCCTCTCAGAAATATGAACAATGAGACGTACAAAGTCTGTGAAAACATTTATTATCTTTACTTTCGGTGTTTTTATAATTAACACGTTTCATAAATTTCCAGTCTCATGAATCGTAAGAGGATGCTTACAAAGGACTATTTTAATTTTTTGCGTCTAATAAAACGTTATCAGTATTATGAATCGTCTGAAATTAAGGATCAGCGCGAATTATTTCTCAGTTGGAATCACGCTTCTATAGACTGGATGCGGACGCTTTCAAAAAGTGTTTGTGTTTTCCCTTACACACTAATTTCCTAATAGAGACTATTTTTCCTACATAGAATTAAATTTACGGCGCATATAATTATTCACGACAAATGCTGCCGGGAATGTTTCATCTCGCCTACAGTTTAGATATCTGTGTACACGAATCTTCCATTGACAAAAAAGCTTAAATGGCCTTCGCAAATTATTCTGTGAAATTGTTATTTTCGAGTCTTCCGCAAAAAATGTATATTTTCCAGCCTTATCTTTTCACGGATGCACTGTTTAAATGACGTTTGACTTATAAAGCGGTTAAATGGTTTGTTTTAAATAAATGAATAGCTTTCTGTTTAGGACGTCGGATTTTATCTAGCCAGCCTTCTAACAAATTCCATGTCATATTAAAAGAACATAGAATAATGTTATCAAGGTCTCCAAAATTGTTTGCTTTATAAAATCGTATTTAATTGAGTGTATTTCAAGTTTTTTTTTAATAGGAAATGGGTGACAAGCGAGCACACAGTCACAGATTCCTCATATAGATACCATTCTAGATATTTTATACATACTCGTAAAATAACAACACGTGACGAATAAAAATCTTCAAGCCTGTATATCAATGATAAGACAAAAATAAAAGTCTGCTTGCGATTAAGCTCCCATCAAATTTTCTAACCATTTAATTATGTATTCTATTCCTTTCCATAGTAGGATTGTATATATACATATATATATATATATATATATATATATATATATATATATATATATATATATATTAAAAAAATTCTTACCCGCATAGTAAATTGCTTCTTTCCTTACTGCGTATTTTGCTAAAGGTATTCGGAGAGTGCAAACAAACTCCGCAGGTGAAGGAAGGTCAGCGTCGAGCAACGTAAGCGAAGCTACCGCCGAGTATCTGCCGTTCACCAGTTTCAATTCACGAGAAACTCCATCCAGCCTCCTTTCAACAAAACATATAGATGTTTTTAATATGAATATAATACGTAGTATTATGTAAAGTGTGACAGTGCGATGAGTATTTTTACTCTCGGTATGAACTGTCTATGGGTAAACAATTTTAAATTAAAAAAGAACTACAAAACTGAATCGATTTTACTGAAAACTTAATTATTTGTTAAGATAAAAAACACACACACACACACACACACACACACATATATGCAATTTTTACAGTAATACCTACCAAAATTTAATACTACAGAAATAAACTTAATCATTCATAATCCTCTGGGCTAAAGCTAGGCTAGAGCAATGCAATGACATGAAACTGCATTTATTTTCCTACGCACTATTTTTATTTGCACGAAACTAACCTTCATGGTCGTAAACCATTTAGGGTTCCAGCTCTAAGAAGTAAAGAGGAAATATTGGACGAAAACTGCAATGGGCTAGAGAACATGTAAACTTGGAACCACATCAATGGTTGTTGGTACTTTTCACCGATGAATCCCGGTGGTTTCTATCCTCTACACGTACTCTGAGGAGAGTTTCTGGTCATACTATCCGGCTTCAACACTCTCAAAAACTTCATTCATACCAATGTGGTACAATTATGGAGTGGTAAGAATTCGTTTTGGTGAAAGAACAGACTTTGTTTTGATTGGACCACGATACCCTGTGCATTACGGTGGCTGAAAAATACCGTAATTAGGTGCTAGAACCAATAGTCTTTCTACATCGAATATGCGTGGGTCAAAATTTCCTGCTTATGCACGACAATGTCGGTTCGGTCTGCTTGCACGAACATGATGTGACGTCCCTAGAATGACCAGCGCAATCTCTAGACTTAATTCCATAGAGAGTGCTTGGGATGTGCTTCACAGAAAAGCTCCGAGTCGTTGAAAGTTTTTACTTTATTTATTTTTTAATTTAAGAATGAAATTTTTATTATGCACAGTTTTCACATTTGCGTTTTTGCTTGTATAAATCTTTATATAAATAAATTGATAGATTAAATTAAAGCGTTCTGTGATAGGTATGTTCATGCCTTAAAAATAATAACATGCTTTTTGGATGTGTTGTTAAAATATCTCTACACCGTTTTGGTGTGTTTATTTTTTCTCTAGGTAAATTTAAGCATACTCTCTCGTTCGCCGCCTTCACAAAATACTTCGATGTATTCCCGAAAAAAACCCGACTCCTAATATATAACTCTCTAGTAAAACCTCACTTACTTTACCTTGTAGAAGTATGAAGTAATGCAGCCAAAACCAATCTTAAACCTCTCCAAGTGCTAAAAAAACCGTATCATAAAAAATTTGTATAACTATGACTTTTTACCACCAACTAAAACAATATATAAATAAACTAAACTGTCGAACGTTGTGATTGGAAATTATCAAAGTAACTCCTTACCTATAAATTGTGGAGTACTACAAGGTTCGATTCTTGGCCCGCTATTGTTTTTAGTGTATGTTAACAATATTTGTGAAGTAGACTTACACGGCCATCTCACTCTGTATGTAGACGATACATGTTTATTCTACTTTGAACAGAATATAAATGACCTTACTACGCTTGCTCAACAAGATCTCAACACACTAAACAGATGGTTCCAGTACAACCTATTAACAATAAATACCGCCAAAACATCTTACGTAATATTTAGTGCAAAAAACAAAAAAATTCAACAACACACAAAATTACACATTAACGGAGAAATATTACGCCAGTCTAATCAAGAAAAATACCATGGGCTAATGCTTGATAAACATCTGTCATGGAAAGGTCATTTATCAATTATAAAAAATAAGCTTTCATCTCTAATAGGTTCTACATACGGCATAGCTGGATGTATACCACCGAAAGCTCGCCCTTTGATCTATAACGCATTGGTTAAACCACACTTAATTTACTTAATAGAGATATGGGGTACAGCAGCCAAAACTTTACTACAAAAGGTACAAGTATTGCAAAATAAATTAATAAAAATTTTATATCATTACGACTTTTTATCTTCGACCAAAACAATATACCATGAGACGAAATTACTAAGCATCAAACAATTATACATCTATAACAGATGTATATTAATATATAAAATCACACACAATATGATCTATTCAAATATAACATTCACCACAAAAGAAGAACACGCTAAAATACTCATCACGCCGCGCAAACCATCTTGTATTACCAAATATTCGCACTAATTATGGAAAATGTCCGTAACATTTGCGGGAGCACGGTTGTATAATAAACTCCCTTCAACTATAAAAGATGCAAGTTCGCTCAATATTTTCAACAAAAAATTATTGGACCACATTAAAAAACAAGACATTATATAACTTGGACCACCGTCTTGTATTATCAAAACTTGAAACATCGCTCTTACGCAGTTAACTTGCAACTTCTATATATCTAATTTAGATCTACCCTAATTTATGTCTACTATTTTATTATATTGTTCTGTGTGATTTATTTTAAATTGTATGAATGTACTCATGTAAGTGACATTAGTCTTAATGAGTAAATAAAGATCTTTAAACCGAACGTTACTCAACTTTATATATATAGCACATGCATACTAATATACAAAATAAAACAAATTAATCCACACACAACTCACGTTTTTAACAAAGAAGCAAACAAACAAATATGTATGTAACATGCCGAGCTTGTCACCTTGTATTGCCGCCTATAAGAACAAACTATGGTAAAGATAATATAACGTTTGAAAGAGCACAGTTACACAACAAACTACTGGATCCGACAGAAAGTTTCTCGGTCTGCGCACACTATAGCGAGTGTAGAGAGGGGCTGCATAGGCAGCTGTCTCACGAATGAGATGATTTGGGTGGGACTCTGAGGCTTTGAAAAATCTCTCAGAGAGTGTTTTGAGGAACTGTTGAATTGTTGGGAGCTCTAAGTCTCAGTGGAGGTCTGCATTACGAATATAATACGACAACAAGATTTCGGCTGACCTGAACTGCCTCCTGGCGGCTCAAGCCGAGCTTACTTAACACATCCCTTAATCTGCGTTAGTTAGGCACACTTCTAAGCGGGCTTTTCGCCGCTTGCGCCCTCCTTTCTGCCAAGGAGGGTCGTCGGTCCGTTTACGGCTTAAAGATCTCTCGTCAGATCAGTAAGCCAATCCCTAACGGTGCAGTTTATTGGGTGAAAGTCTCCACATAACCACGCAGCCGGCTGCGTGGTATGCTATGAGCATTCTCCACCTCCCTCCCCCCGTTACCGGAGGATTGCCCTTAATTGCTTCGGGCGCAAAAAAACAAACTACTATACCTAAATTTGTAAAGGAGGCGAAATCTTTGAATGCTTTTAAACAGAAGTTACTTGCCTACCTATATTCACAACAGCTAAATACCTAACCTAAACCGTTATTAAATAAAAGTTAAAAAACAATGGCTGCGTTTGGCAGAAAAAAGCGCTAGGAAGCGCTTGTAAACAAAATGGCGATTATAAGCGGTAAGCACTGTCAAATCGTAAGTAGCTATTTTCCTCTAGGACACGAAGTTAGCTTTAACCGGGGAATCTAACCTAATTTAAATATATGTTTGTACAGTATTCTAATTAAAAACTTACCAATCATGAATTTTTAATAACATGTATAATAATATGTTTATTCATGTCGTTATATTACTTGAAATTAATATTACACACAGCAACTTATAAATTCTACTTCAAAACAAACAAAGTAAATAAGCAAAATGGCGGATTGTGTCAGCGCTACTGAAGTTAGCAAACGTGTCCTGGCCGAAAACTGTTTAGTTTCACCATTTTGCTTATAAGCGCTTCCTAGCGCTTTTTTCTGCCAAACGCAGCCATTATTTAACATGGACTATCACCTTATAATTTGAATAAGTAACAAAGATATTCGCTCCTTTAAAGCGACATCCAACAAAGTTTTATTTATACCCGTACTAAAAATTGTTATTACTAAGTTTATATAGTTATTTTTCCCATGTAAGTGACGATTGTCTTATTGAGAAATAAAGATCTTTAAACCGAAACCGAAGCATGCTCTCTAACAATTAATCGATGCACTTTATAAACCCTACATAAAACCACCATTGGTCATAACGCTACAACAATGTAAGTATATTTATTAGGGACGGGGTCCAAACCAAATAAGTCACATTGTTCTTTATAACAAATGTTTCGTTTACAAAATGTTTCGCCTTCCCAAAGAATACCTCAGAATGCCTTTTATTCTAGTATTATTTACATATTGCAACACTAATAACAGACAACCAAAACACACACAAACAACACATAACAGTATTATTTTTTTAACTTAGGTAAAAGCGTTATTGACAATGACAGAGCTTTATCAAGAGTTTCGTTTTCGAATTTATTATATTAGACATACCAGTTGAGATACAACATTGAGTAGAGGTCAGTTTGTACAGTCTAGCAGCGCGATCACCTATCCGTATGACAAGTGTTGCATTTTTTGCCAAATATTCCCTAAAATAAAATAGACAATGTCCTACAGTATTACCGGGCTGCTAGCGATGTTGTGTTATTTAAAAAAAAATCTTATTTTGTGATTTTGTATTTTTTCCGCTTGTATTTTGCATGAGTGTAGCGTTATAGGCCGATTGGATGGCAATAAGGTGCGATTTCCTTTTAAGTCAATTGCTATGTAGAGTACACGTCTTTGATTTTATACGACCTCGACACGCTAGAAGTAATTAATTCCATACCTTTTAATTACAGGCATATTTATTGTAGTTTAGTTTCTTTTTTGATAAAAGTACATTTCGAACGAACGAATCCATATTTTTAAAGAACTAATTATTTGCCTGTATCTACTAGAAATAATTTATTGGTTTAAAAACAACCTAAATGGTTTGTTAGTTCCCAGAACAGCGTTAAAAGTGTACGTATGTACAACTACTTAAAAATGATAAAATACTTTTGAAATATTAATACTCTTAATATGTTGGCCGAGATGATGTTTTTATGTTCAAACTACACTACAAAAGAATAAAAAGTTAGTACCGTACCTCTCTGGTGTGGCTAGCGTGAGGTTTGGTTCAGGAAACACTCCGTCCGCAGCACATATGACGTTCACAGTATCATCGTGAGTCTTGTTCAGGATCAGGCAGAAGTTCGTCTCCGGTACTGAAACATGATACTTCTAAGGACATTTTGTAAGATGGCAGGTGAAGGTTACTAAACACTAAATAATGAGGCGCGTGCTAAGGTGGAGAACTTCTCTCGCGCACTATTAAGTCTCTTGAAGCATTTTTTCTTCGTTTTATACCCGCTCTTTGATGAAAATTATTTTTGTAGTTTACAGTTTTGTTCTTTTTATCACATTAGGTAACATTTTAGGATCACTACTAGACATTTCTCCTTTAAAAAATGAATTAGCTGGCAAAAATACACAAAAGTTTTCAAATTCATCAATTGTTATTGAATATCTTTTTTTAGAATAAGGGTGACAAGCGGGCACACAGTCCACCTGATGTTAAGTGGATTCTGTGGCTCATAGACATCTACATGTATCCCTGAATAAGATTCCAAATGCAGATTATTATCACCCCTGAGGACTAAAATAGAATGCCTCGTATCCAGTAAAAAGGCAGCAGCATAGTGCTGCTACTTCACGCCGGTAATCCGTGAGAGTGTGGTCCTTCCTTGGTCGTGCTAACCCATTCATGCTTCGAGTATAATATAGATGCAGCGTGGCTATACCACGTATAAATAAGACTAGTGCCGCGGCGTATAAAGGTACATCATTATCCCGTATATCCTAACGTGTGTCGCACAAGGCGACATATGGAAACAAAAACAAGAGATGAGCTACGGTATCTTCCAAATCAGAAGTGAAAATTAAAAACCGCGGCCCTGATGGGCCCGGGTTTGAATCCCGCGGGATAAATGTTTGTATTGCTTATAAATAATTGTTTTGGTTCTGGATGTTCGATTGTCCTTGTGCAATTTATGTATGTAAACTGCCTTTGTGACACAGAAAAAATCCTAGCACAAGCTTACTGGGGTAACATTTAAAAAAAATCATAGATTCACATTCTGCTGAACTAAATCGTTAGACAGGTCAGCACAACAACAAGTGGAATGCCACACAATAAAGTCAGAGGAATCATATCAACGAACTATTTAAATAGCTTGTACAGGTTGTTTAGTTTAGCTTACCTATGCTTACATGTTGTAAACACACACAGCAATTTCGTATATTCTAGGCGTATGTGTTATCATTATCTAAACATAATTAAACTGCCATATCCTAGAAACTCAAGTCTCAACTATTTACGTAATATTATGTTGAGCCTTTCAATTGATTATCGTCATAAAACATTCATTTTAGATTATTAATTTAATTAAGGCAGTCTTAGTTGACATATGCTTTATTACAATTGTATATATTACTTGAGAAAAATTGGTTTGTTGTTTATTGTAGCCTGAAAAAATCTGGATCCTATAAAGTCCTTAATATTGAACCGGACCGCTTTAGCGACATAAATAGGTAAGAGGGTCCAGACAGGCTACTAGGCAGAAAAATAACCGTTTCTAGAAATAAATAACCTTGACGTTTTGTTCCTAGTCATTAGGAATTTGTATAATATATAATTCATATTATGCATATTATATACTGTAAAAACTGCTCATAATGTATGAATGTACAAAATATAATGATTTTTTATAAATGTATACTGATCTGTGATCACTAATTCAATATCATCCCCTTTAAATTATTAATTTCAAAATAGTTCTCCACAGGACGGTCTTTTGACACAAACAGGCTAATTGACAACCGCACGGACACCCGTTTCCGTTCACATCGGAAATCTCTTTGATGTTCCTCTTCGGATAGTTTGGTGGTATATGCGGAGGTCTTCTCCGTCTTTGGAGTAATAAATACATACATATGTTTTCATATTAGAACTAAACAATGAGTACAATTTAAAAAATATCTAACGAATAAAACATCTGGTTGATTAACTATCGAATAATTTTTATTATATATTATAATTTTATACGTGGTAGGGACACGCTGCAGCTATATAATGGTTGTAGCACAATTGGTTTGGCTCGATTGGGGAAGGACCATGCTCTCACAGAATACCAGCGTAAAATAGCAGCTTAATACTACTGTGTTTCGTAAAGTGAGTGTAGAGATCCGGAGACCTTTTTTTACTGGAAACGAGCTACTCCATCTAAGACCATCGAAGAAGAAGGAGTGACAACGCATATGCGTTTTGATTCTTAATCGAAGATAAATGAAGATGTCTATGGGCCACAGCAACCATTTACCATCAGGTGGAAAGTGTACTTGCTTGTCGTCCTTATTTTATACAAAAAATGTGATTTATCTCATGAATAGCTATCCAACCGATTTATTGAACTATGTCAGCGCATACGTTAGAAGAGCATAACCTATTTTTATTTGTTGTAAAGCAAAAACTTTATTATCAAATATCAAGTGTTAGTTTATGTCCGAGCTTGTGTTTTCCTGGTTATTGTTCGTGTGGTTTGTTTTAAGTCTCGTCTTATTTTGTTTGTATTTCCATATGTTGCAATTGAAATTGCAAAGAAAATAAAGCGTTTTGTGATTCTTAATACTCCTGAGATTCAAACCAATATCTATTCGGAGCACCGTCATTTGCTGTAACTATAAACGATAAAAAAAACTTATTTTAATATGTTATCTTTAATTTTGTCCCTCATCATGGAAATGAAAGGTTACGAAGTCCTTCTGAAATCCTGACAAGTGGATCAATTTTTAATCCCACATGCCAAAATGATACGATCATAATCTGAATATTTTTATTATTCTATCAGGTAAATTTATTAATTCATTTATCAGAATTTGAGGGCCCCGTGGTGTAGTTGTTTAGCAAAAAGTTCCAGTCTGCAGGTTTGACCTTGTGCAATTGTTAATATGTAAATTGCTTCCACGATACAGAAGAAAATCCCAGTTTAGGGTCACAATTTCAAAAAAAAAAGACAACTAAAAGAATGAACTAAAAATATGTGAACTGTATTTTATAAATATCCACCTGTGTTTTAAGTTAACCTCTACTTCATATTTAGTGAATTTATTTTTCCGTAATTCAAGAATACTTATTATATACACTGTGTAGAAAAAAATAGTTACGACCCAATAGGTCCCTCCGTTGAGCACAAGTTTGGTCAGCGTGGGACGTTGCTTTATAATTGTTTCATTTCTGAGCGAAATAATGAGCAATTTATCTGCCACCCTGCTCCAGTCCATCTGTATTTTCTTTAAGATTAACAAGAAGTTGTTATACTTGATGCATATCAAAGTTTCGTTTTTATATATTTGAAATACAATGTTTATATAATAAAGTAAAATAAATGTACAAATAACATCTACAATGGTAGATATATTGAGAATGTATGGCTTAGAGAAACGCCTTATGTCACAGCTAATTTAGCTGTTTCGTACTCTAAATCTGCTGCTTCTGTTAATCATTTCAAGAAAAAGCTTAAGCTTTATTTGAATGAGTTTTAAAGTGCAGTGCTTGCGGAATTCCACTCGCTATTTGTAACAATGATCCCGCGTGCTTTAGACTTATAAAACGACTTTTTTTTAAATATTTCATGAAATATTATTGCAAAACTTTTCTTTAGTGGACAGCTTAGGAAAGTATTCAGAAGTTATCATCCATCCATTTAAAGTATGAACGTCCACTGCAGAACATACACTCTCCCCACACATTGACAACAAATGTTTCCATATCCGCCACGCTTATCAGATGTGTACGCAAGGGCTGGCACTTTATTTTAAAAGATTTTATTGTTTATAATATTTTATCAAGAAGACGCTGCTGCCTATCTTCTGTTTTATTTTACCTCTGACGACACCCACGGAATGGTATGGGATAGTGAATATTCTTAAGCACTACTACCTACTACTACTTGGTTTGTTCAGAATTATTCTTCTTTGTCAAGTCGTAAAGTACCCATGAAAGGGCCATTGTAGCACGGTTTGCCCTACTGCCGTCTTCGATTGAAGTACTTTACGTGTGGGGTAAGCGAGATGGTTATACATTGTTTAATTTCTGGTCTTTTACGAACAAAGCAAAATGGGGTAATGAATTCTCTTACACTATCACCACACGGGATCTGGGTTTAAAACAGCTATGAATAGGGGTGACCTTAGTTAGGAACTTCATCTCTGTCCTCAGAGGTGATAACGCACCTGTAGCCTCCTTTGTATGAAATTAGTTGCAGATGTCGTGAACATGACATTAAAACATTTAATTTTTATTAGCCATTGAACAGTACAATAGGTCAGAGTTTAATGGCCAAGTATTCAAACGCTACTCAATTTTAAGATGTTGCTAAGTCTCGTGGTATTACGATCACATTCTAAAATTGAGCAGCGTGTATTTGGGCATAAAATACCGAAACTTTAGAACATATTTTTGAAAACAACTTGTAGAATCCAATGCCATGCACTTTTACGGCGAAAGGACGTGAATGCTACTATTACCAAGGGTTCAAATTAAGTTATTACTTTTAAAAACAAACTGAAATTGCAGTTATTAGAATCATTTGACGATAGAAATTGTAACTAAACTTTAATGTTAATTAGATAATCTGTTTTTCTATTAGATTCTAATATTAATCAGCCTATTAAAGTTCACTACCTGTTGAAAAGTGAAGACATCCATCCCGGCTATGTGTCAAGTATCTACTGTCTTTAACTGTCATCCGTTGCGGCGATTCAATTACCGCCATTTTTCGCACTTTATTTAAATACTTTACTTTGGATTATACTTTGCTTTTAGCAATAATGTTATAATCATATATAAATGTAGATGAGAAATACATGTTCATTATATTTTACATTATACCCATACATTTAAAGAAAACACGATATTAAGTAAATTATTTCTCCCGGGCAGTAACTACAAGCAAGTTGCAACATATAAGAAATGACGCCCTTTAGAAAGATACCGTTGAGGACCTACTGAACATAGTCCTCCCCTTAGACTGTCTCTTTAGGGGGATATTTGCCGCAGTCATCACACTTGGTAAGCGGTTTGGCAAACACGTTAAACGATTTATAAAATAATGCGAAAAAACCATGATCAATATTTTCTTAAAGGATAGTTAAAAAAACAGTCATCTCACGGTAGATCACAAGCACCATTATTGGCGGGCTCCTAGTTAAAGCGACATATGTCGCCCCAGTGCCGTTGGTGCAATTTAAAAATACTTTGTATTACAAGCCGTGCCAATTGTCACACGACATTTTTTTTATTTGTTAGAAAGTGGTAAAGCGTAGCGTTTCAATTTGCAATTCCATTGTTCCAATGATTGAATATAAGTGTTAGAGCCACGCTACAGTAACGTTATGATTGTAGCACGAATGGGTCGGCTCTACTGGGTAGAACTACTCTGTCACACGAAATACAAGTTTTACTGGAAAACGAGGCATTCTATCTTAGTTCTCAGGGGTGATAACACATCTGCGTTTTGATCCTTAATAGGGGATGTAATATTATATAGATTTCTATGAGCCCCATCATCCACTTACCATCAGGTGGACTTTGTGCTCGCTTGTCACCTTTATTCTAAAAAAAAAATGTGATTGTATTATGAAATATGAGGCGTCCTGGTACTGAGCTAACGGCTGTAATTGAGCAATTTCATACTAATTAAATGGTCACAAAAATTATCTCATGTTTTTAAAAACATTAAAAAGAAACAGTATCGTTCACGTATTCTTAATTAACGTAAAGAACTGTTTAATTTTTCAACTTTTTTGTTTTATTTTTGTTAAATAAATAAATCCTTTGTTAGTTTTTAAAAAAAATTATTTGAAAATTGTAACTTTATATTCTCAATATGCTTCATTTCGAATCTCCCAATAAATTAAACCTACTAATACAAGAATCGACTTCATACTGCGAACAAGAGCTGTAACCGTTTCGTAGCCAGATGGAATTTGGATGAATGAACAGAATAGTATTCTATATATAATTCAAAGGCGGACAATTTGCTAAATTATACTTCAAACACTTCACCCATATCGGGCCTAATACACGATATCGCTAAACCCTTCTCAAGAAATGTATTATTAGATAACCTCGAGTAACTATTAAATGAAATTTGAGTTGGATTTTCACTTAAATTTCAGTACGATTAATACAGGATCATAACTTACGTTCTACAAAATGTAATTTATGTTCACAGCGCTAAAAGTTTTATGATTTTAACAGTTTCCCTGTCAGCGAAAGAACACAAGAGTTGAACAATCGAAATATTCATTTTATACCAGTATGACTCACGGGACAGTGTAATGGTCAAGTTGCACTCGTGTTCATTAGCCTGTAAGCTCTGCACTCTTTAACTAAACCTTGGCCTTTTCAGTAGACAATATTATTGCCAGCAGCCATGATTCATGTTCCGGAACGGAATAGAGATAGAGCCGGTATAAGTAGCTGTAAGGCATTCCATCTCAGTCTACAGAAATGACAATTACAAGGCGTCTGTAGCCCTCTTTATTTGCAGTGAGTTGCAGGTGTCCAGGTGCTGCGGTAGCCACTTCACCAGCCACCATCAGGTTGCTAGATTGTAACTTCGTTTATCACTTGAATTTATTAAAACAAATCTTACTTATATAAAACTAGATTTTACGGATTTTAGCGCGTATATTAACTTATTTATATTTTCGACGCTTCTAGTACTTTATATCACCCATGATCACTCGGGGGGACTACTATGGGTATTATTAAGTATTCGAAACGTCTCAAATATAAAATAAGATAATATACGCGACGAAATCCGGAAAATCTAATTTTATTTAATTCATCACAATCATAAATAAATTTAAATTCTTTATTAAAACAAAACGTACTTATGACGTAGCTCTTCATCAACGGGTCTGAGTATTTTACATAATGATTAAATGAGAAATGCCTCACAATAGTCCACTGCCACATAATAGTGATGGATCTGCTTCCACAATAGCCTTCAATTCTTAATTTTCAACTTTGGTCTCCGGCCGTCCACGGGATTGGTTCTGAAGGTCGAAATTTCCAGAAAGAAAACGTACCGTGCGTTCTTTTGCGACCCTATTGCCGTACACAACATTAATTCTTCGAGCTTCGCGCTGCAGCACTGGGCCACGGTAGAACTCGTAATCGTAAAGATACGATATTTTATGTTTTCCATTGTGCGGTAATAAGCAACGCCAAAGAAAAAAATAATGAGGAAAAAATAAATAAATGACTGTTCACCAAACTCAAATGTACCAGCTAAATGAATTTATAAATTTGAATTTGGAATTCTTAACCAAATAGGAGATATTTCAGATCGAAATGGTCAGTACGAAAAAATGCTAATTTCATATGTAAGGACCCAATATTAAGTCAAATACGTCATACATTAAATTAAGCCGTATAATACAAACATAATTTGATAAAATAGTGCAAAAACGCGCGTTACTCATACAAAATATACTTCAACACGAAAACTTTTATAAGACACCTTAATATATGTTCCTACTAAATAAAACTAGTTTCAATAGTTTGAATAGAACAAAATTACTCATATTAATCTGGAGGAAGCCGGGGCTGACTATAAGATCGGGAAGTCGAACACCCCGTCCCCCTCCCCCCACGTGACCATGGGTGCTGTAAAGTTTTCAAAACGTCAGGAATATAAAACAAGTTAATATACGCGATAAAATCCGTAAAAATAACTTTTATTTAAATGTGCAGTGTTCGCATAAATATAAGAAATCATTAAGTTCAATAGTTATACATTTTATTTTTAACGCAAATAGCTACATCATCTGTCTGGTTTTGTTCAAATATTTGAAATATTATAACGAGCTTAACAAAGTTACTTACCAAAAACAATCATTTGCTTAGTTCTTGAATCCTCGTCCATGAATGTTGAAACGACACACGTGTAATCACCAGATATGTCGGTGTTGGGCTTCATTATGCGGAGTGCTCTGTGCATTTTTAATGGATCGCTTGATGCTCTGTAGGCTAAGTCAACACGTCCTCTCAATATCCCCATGTCCTGTGGCTTTTGCGACACGATCCATTGGTAGACAGGTCTAGCTTTGTTTCTGAAAAACCATTTCACTACCAGTCCCGATGTGTTGTTACCGTAAGCATAGTCACAGTCTAGAATCACAGCGTCTTGCACACCGTACTGTATTATTTCTGGCACAACTATTTTCACTATTTTAACTGCGTTCAATTCTGAAACAAAGAAATAAAATTGAGTGTAATTTACATACTAATATGATAAGTAATAAAATACATTTGATTTGTAGTTTCAAATAGCATATTGTAAGGGAAATACATATCTAAATATTAAAGTTACTCTTTTTTAATTTTTTTATAGAAGACCGGGCAAAAGAGTATGCGGCTCATCTGATGGTAAGTGACTACCGCCGCCCATGAACAACCACAACACCAGAGGAATTGCAGATGCGTTCCCGGCCTTCTAGAAAGGAGTAAGGTTTTTTCTTGAAGGTCCCTAAGTCATATATCGGTCCGTAAAACTCGCCGGTGGTAAACAATTCCGCAGAGAAGTTGTACGAGGAAAAAAACTCCTAGTAAAACGTACAGTAGTGGACCGACAAGCATCCAGATGGTGAGGATGATATCGAGAATTTTGACGCGATGAGCGTTCGTGAAATTTGGCGGCTGGAACTAATCCGCACAATTCCTCAGAACACTCCCACAACACAAAGCAATGCAAAGAAAACACAAAGGGATGTAATCTGATCGTTACCGAACATTTTTCATGAAACCGAAGTAACAAAAGCTTACAGTCCACCTGAGGATAAGTGGCTAATGCAGCCCTGTTAAAATATAGATGCGTTGTTACCTCTGATAACTAAGATAGTGTAATATATAACATTGTTTTTTTGTTGCCTTATTTGGTTTTTGAAATAATTAAGGTGTAAAGGAGAAATATATTTTTACATTCATTATAGGAAATAACATTGTATCAATTTTTCATTTGTTTTAAAAGTCTAAAAACATTTTAATAAAACAATGTACGCCCGGATGGGATTTAATACTTTCCTTAAATATTGTTTTGGAGGCCACTTCTTTTAATCATTAATTAAGACAGTTTTTACTTACTGAAGTATAAAAATACGTATAATATCGGAAAAAGTGTTATCAGTTTATAAAAAAAAGTACCTAAGTAATATTGCAAACAACAACGGGCCAGTTTGACTGACAGCGAGTTAATGTCGGCATCAATAATGATCGGAAAGTCTAACATTAGCGCAAACAAACAAAAGGAACAAGCTTTTGCGTAATGTAAACAACATAGACAGTACGAAAATTCATCGAAGACATATTCAATCTTGATTTTTATTCTTAAAGTTTTTCTCTCTTAGATAATCCATAACCATTAGCCCACAATACGCAAAGCATTAATATTTATATAATTCTCATTGAAATGTTGTTGAAAGCTTATTTAAATTCATCCTTGGTCCTACATAAAAACGGGCTTGACCTAAAAATTTAAGTCATACTTGAAACTTCATCAATAAACGCATTAAAGTACGAAGTGAAAGTAGATTTTGATAAAGAATTTATAAAGGCCCAGTTCTTATAACATTCATTTAGCACCATCATCATGCAATTTAAAAAAGTCTGGTCATTCGAGGGCAACATAAGCGTTAGACTGCCTGACGGGTCTCGACGTCACATCTTTAGCGCTAATGACCTGGATGCACTACTGCGCGATCTTCATAAAGCTGGGTGCAACGAGGAGCCGGAGCAAGTGAAGGCAGGAACTAGTAGTGTAGTTTCCCGTAGCGAGCAGCCAAGAACCCGACGAGCATTCAGAAATAAGTAAACATTCTCGGGTTAGTGGTAATACTTTGTTTACACTTCGACGGCTTATTAATTACTACTACTGCTGTGTGTACTGTGTACGTCAATGAGCGCTTTTGTATTCGATCCTTTTGTTCTCCGCAACCGGTTACTAGGCTGGTTTGCGACACAAGTAATAGTACAGACTAATCTGAACCTTAAATTTCGTGAAATTACGCTTTAGAGTATTTTTTTTCGTTTAAATTACCACTTCTCGTAGTGATTAACATATGTTTTTTTTTCCTTTTTTTCAATACGTATGATTTTTGTTGTCTCTGCAATTGTAAATAATTAAAATTAGATACTTTCTTGTAGTAAGTATTACTAGTTGTTTTCGTGTAATATTTTAATTTTTCTTTTAGTTTACCGGCGCGTTTGTTTGCAGTGCAAATATCAGTTAATAGGGTTTTTTCTATTTTTTTAGACTATATATATATATATATATATATATATATATATATATATATATACTTTATATAAATAATATATATACATATATCATAAGTATAATCATATGTTATGACAGATTCTGATACCAATGAACTATTTCTCTCTGTTGATTCAGATTCTTCTTTTTTTTCACTAAATGACTCTTTTTCGGAACCTACTACTCTTCGTTATCTGCTTACTCAAAAGTTTCATGGTTTGACTAATAACTTTAACGTTTGTTACATTAACGCTCAGAGCATTCCGCAACATTATAATGAACTTGTTGATACTTTTCATAATCAGTCTATTTCTGCGATACTTGTTTCGGAAAGCTGGTTAAAACCTACCTTACCGTCTACCTCCTTTGGAATACCTGGTTTTGTCCTCTTAAGAAATGATCGTACGGGCAAAAGAGGTGGGGGTGTAGCGGTGTACTTACGTAATGGTATACCCTATAAACAATTATGTGCTTCTTCTTCTGTTTATTCTGGTACAATAGAATACATGTTCTTGGAGATTACCATCAGTGGGACTAAGACTGTTCTCGGTGCAATTTACTGTCCACCAGGAGTTAATTATTTTTGTGACCTTGAATTGGCTCTTTTTTCTATCGGCTCTGATTATCAGCACTTTATTATAATGGGAGACTTCAATACCGATATTCTTTGTAACTCTGCGAGGTCACGTGAATTGTATACAGTTATGAACTCCTTTAATTTGTCAGTTCTTCCTCTCGACCCCACACACCACAATCTTGATACTGCTGATTCTTTAATAGATTTAATAGTGGTCGCTTCTAAAGACCATGTCGTTGGCCATGGTCAACTCTCCGCCCCTGGGTTTTCGAGGCACGATTTACTGTATATTTCTTATAGGATTAAATGCCCTAAGGTCAATCATGTGATGGTGCATCTGCGTAATTTAGCGAGACTTAATGTTGAAGAACTTCAGCAAGATGCTTGTAGTATAGATTGGAGTGATACTTACAGCGTAGAGAGTGTTGACGAAAAAGTAGCTCTTTTTAATTCAAATATACAGAAGTTGTTTGATAAACACGCTCCTCCACATAAAGTCAGACTGAAACGATCTCGTGCGCCGTGGATTACTGAGGATATCCGCAGGGCTATGGCAAAGCGTGATCGAGAATTTAGTAAATATAAGAGTAATCGGTGTACTGTTAACTGGACTCGATTCAAAGCCGCTAGGAATCGGTGTAATCAGATGGTGCGGGCCGCTAAACGCCGTTATATTCATCGAAATATCCTTAACGCTTCTATGGCTGATTCGTGGAAATTTTTAAAATCAATCGGGATAGGTAAACCTGCTTCTAACTTTGATCCTTCAATATTCTCTGTTAATCAACTTAATACATACTTTTCTACTGCACCACAACTGCATTCGTCAATTAAATCTACTACTATTGCCCATGTTAATTCTCTTCCAAAATTTTACAAAAGCTCTTTCAATTTTTCTCCCGTTACTGATGAGGATATAAAAAAAGTCAATTTCTTCCATCAAGTCCGCCGCAGTAGGCTCTGATGATGTGAGCAGAATCATGATCAATCTCATCCTCGATTATGTCTTACCGGTACTTACCCACATAGTAAATTTTTCATTAGATACTGGGGTTTTCCCTTCACTATGGCGAAATGCTTTTGTTCTCCCACTTCCAAAAATAAATAATCCTAGTTCCGTTTCTCACTTTCGTCCTATCTCTATTCTTCCTTTTTTTATCAAAAGTACTTGAAGCTGTTGCTCACAGACAAATTTCTGACTACGTTTTTAAAAATAACTTTTTAAGTAGCTATCAATCAGGTTTCAGGCCAGGACATAGTACAACAACAGCCCTGCTTAAAGTTACGGAAGATTTACGTATAGGTATGGAGGAGTCAAAATTAACTGTGTTAGTTTTAATAGATTTCTCAAACGCTTTTAATGCTGTTGATCATGACATCCTTCTTACAATACTTTCTCACATTGGTTTCTCCTCATCAGCGCGGGAATGGTTCGCATCCTATCTTCAGGGACGTCAGCAGGCTGTTCGCGTGGGTCCAGTTATTACGGACTGGTGCACGCTGGTTGCTGGCGTTCCTCAAGGCGGAATTCTCTCACCTCTTTTTGTTTTCAATTTTTATAAATCTCATTACATCTCACATTCGCTGCACGTACCATCTCTATGCCGATGACTTACAAATATATGCTCAGTCTGATGTTAACGAAATCGAAGATGCGATCACTGAGCTAAACTCTGACCTCACTCGTATCTCTGATTGGTCTAGCAAATTCGGTATTACTGTTAACCCTACCAAGTGCCAGGCAATTATAGTTGGAAGTAGCCGTCGCTTATCTACATTGGATTTTAATTCACTGCCACCTGTAAATTTTAATAATGCTGTCATACCTTATTCAGCTACTGTGAAAAATCTAGGACTTATCATTGACAGCAGTCTGAGTTGGCGGCCGCAAGTCACGGAAGTAAGCAAAAAAGTTATCAATACCTTGCGTTGTCTGTATCGACTCAAGAATTTTCTTCCAGTGAGAACAAAGGTAATGTTGGTTCAAACGCTCGTATTACCAATACTAGATTATGCAGATGTATGCTATGCTGATGCCTCTCAAGAACTTATTAACAAACTGGATCGTCTTCTCAATAATTGTATTCGCTTTATCTTTGGCTTACGTAAATTCGATCACGTCTCTTCATTCCGTTCTCAGCTCAAATGGCTGCCTCTTCCACTTCGTAGATCTTTTAGAATCCTTTCTATGCTATTCTCTATTTTACACGATCCGTTTGTCCCTGCATATCTGAAATGCAAATTTCAGTATCAGGGCGATTCTCATCAACCGATGTCTTCGTTCCGCGGAAAATCTAACTCTTCATGTTCCTTTCTGTCGCACGGGCTTCTCTTACAATTCTTTCACTTCAAATGCAGTAAGACTCTGGAACATGTTACCTAGAAATATAAAAGAAGCAAAAACTAAACCTATCTTTAAACGTTTACTCTGGGAATATTACTTATAGAAGCAGTAGTAGTTTCGGATTATAATAAAAAATTTAAAAACTTCAGAAACTGTTATATTCTCAAGTATGTATAGTATAAAAATATCATATTTATTTATTGTGTATGTATTTATTGTGGGTATTTGTGTATATATATAAAATAATATTGTATGCATGTAAGTAGTAATGTAAATGTATATGTATGTGTATTGTTTATTATCATTATATTATAATTTTGTATTTTTTTCCTTAAACCTTTAATTTTTTTTTTAATTATGAGTTTTGCACCCATCACTAGATTCTCTGCATAAACCAAAGGTAGACTTGTAGAGAATGCCTTTAGGCATTAAGTCCGCCTTTTTGTACATTTCTTTTATGTGTGCAAATAAAGCTTAAATAAATAAATAAAATAAATTTTATCAAGTTCGGAAACAAGTCCCATCTCAATTATCTAGTTAATTGCTACATTTTTTATATCATCACAATAAGTTATTTGTCTACAACAAGAATCTTCAACAACAGAAATCTACAACAACAGAAGTCACACTAAGGTTACTTTAATTTGAATTACGCGTATAACTGAAACATTTATTGTTATACATTGCAAAATTTAATTTGCAATGTATAACAATAAATGTCTCAACTCAAAAGTTTTTATTTATTATTTGTAGTAAATAAAGAATTTTGAGTCGATAGTATTTGCTACTTTTATTTTACGCATAATCACGAAGTCAAAATTATTATACGGCACGTATAATAAATAGCTAATTAAACATTTTTTTTAGAAAAAATGGCACGTTGATACATAAAGGTTTGCCAACCTGTTATAGGGAGAATTAACAATCGCAGTTCTCGTTGGTCTCCGTATGTTGCGATAAATGTTTATTTTACGTCTACCCGTTAATAATATTGTTGTACCGCCATCTAGCCACGATAGCTCAAGAGTTAAGCGCTAGCTGAAAATTCATAGTACGCGAACAAGCCCTAAACCGTTAATTGTAAATTTAAGTGTCGATTTACAAATGTTCTCTGAGAAATAATAAAAAATAATATTTCGAGGAGAGATAGCGTGGCAGACATTTTCTAGCCCTTGAACCCCTCAGAAATAATGAAAAGAGGCCTGTGCCCAGTATCGGGACGTATATTATTGGCTGTACTTTAACTTAATTTATATTTAGCGCCATCTATCGATGATATATTTCTGATATTACCCAAAGTCGCTTTTCACGAGACCTACGGGATGATACGGGTTTGTGTTCTCTTACACCGCCACCACACTGCAATTTTACTTATTAGAAGCATATTTACTCTTTATAATAATTTAAAAAAATACTAATCTATTATTTTTTTAGTTTTGATCAGGTCTTTATTTTAATCTCGTTTTATTACTTTGTATCACATGCACACGCACACAAACAAACTCTCTCTCTCTCACACACACACACGTGTGTGTGTGTGAGAAGAGAGAGAGACACACACACACACACACTCACATGCGCACACAGACTAATAATAGCACCAGATTTCAATAAATATTAAGTACTAGTACATGTACATGAAAAAAGTATTGTAATTACAACCATAGGGCGGAGACCTGGTGGCCTGAAATACAGGCGTAAAGCCTAGCTTAGGCACCAGTCTCCCACAGTATAACATTAAGGTGTAATATTTTAATATTATGTACAATAATTCTTTAATATTGTGGTGAGAAAATAAATCATTTATTATTATTATGGGGTATCTATATAGTTTTCTCATCTGGTTGGGTTCTATAAATATATAATTATAAATGAAAATGAAAAAAATAAATATACATAAATATCAATAACATAAAATAAATATAAAAGTACATAAATAAATAAAAGCCCAACCAGATGGAGGCCCTCGGCAGGGGAGACCAAACAGCCGAGGGTTAGGGGGAAAGGGAAAGAAACCGGCGGACGATGCGGGCGGTATCGAGGAGCACCGCCTTCTGCATTTGAACCTGGAGCGGTCCGCCACGTAGTCCCAGCCGCCTCAGATGACCCGAGAGGCTGACTGGGATTAGCCCGTTTGCAGAGACGACTACAGGAATAATTTCGGTCGGCAGACCACCCCACATGTCGGTCACCTCGTGAGCCAGGTCCAGATATTTTGTTTGCTTGTCTGTTTCGGCTTTCACGAGGTTCTCGTCATACGGAATGGTAATGTCGACCAAAAATATCCTTGACTGTGCCCGGTCCATCAGCACAATATCAGGCTTATTCGCAAGAATAGTCCTGTCTGTGATGATGGCCCGGTCCCAATAGAGCCTGGCGCGATCATTTTCGAGCACGGCTTCCGGCAAGTACTTGTAGTACGGCAATTTCCGGTCCACGAGACCGTATTTCAGAGCGAGCTCCTGGTGTAGAATTCTGGCTACTAGGTTGTGCCTGTGCAAGTACTCAGAGTTAGAAAGCGCCGAACAACCGGAGATAACATGCCTAAGTGACTCACCGGGATGGCGACAAGCTCGACAGATGTCGACGGTGCCATCCTTTAGGATGTATCTCCGATAGTTATTGGTCTTAATAACCTGATCCTGTATTGCACAGACAAAACCCTCGGTTTCCCCGAAGAGATCACCAAAGCGTAGCCAGTGGAGGGAGGCTACTGTGTCTACGAAAGGCTCATGTAGAGCCTTGTAGAACCTCCCGTGGAGCTCCTTCTCCTTCCATACGGTCTCTCGGTCGGAAATGCTCTGCACTGCCGGGTCTTGCCATTGCTCGTTGGCTAAGGATAGAGGGGTAAGTCCTTTATCACAAGAAATGACGTCCATATAGAATGGATCATCCGATCTCGCCAGGAAGTAATCACGGAGGCTGCACACTTCGCGATTATGCATGGTGAGCGCGCTCAAGAAGCCACGACCACCATGCTTCCGCGACAAGTACAACCTCATTACCGACGATCTCGGATGATGCATCCTATGGGACGTCATGGTAGTGCGGACTTTTCTATCCAGGGCGTTAAGTTCAGTCTGAGTCCACCTGAGTATGCCAAAGGTATACATGAGGACAGGCATGACCCAGCCGTTATATGCGTGTGCCTTATTCACACCGGACAAAAAGGCTGTTAAGCACTTTGGTCAAGCGTGCATAAAACACGTCGCAAACTGACTGTTTCATACCAGTCTCATCGATACCGATGTTTTGTGACATACCCAGGTATCGGTATGTTTCAGCCTCGGAAAGGGTCCTTAAGTTGACGGGCATAGATAAGTCTACGCCCTCAGAGTTAGCAACCCTTCCCCTTTCAACATGGAGGACCGCACACTTATCCGTCCCAAGCTCCAGTCCAATGGAATTGCTAAATTCACAAGTGATGTTTAGCAATTCCATAAGATGGGAGCGACTGGAGGCGAATAACTTGAAGTCATCCATATAGAAAAGGTGGGTCACTTTTGTCCCTCCTCTCCGTAGCTGAAATCCTCTCCCGGAGCCCTCCAGTAAGGTACTGAGAGGGTTCAGAGAGAGGCAGAACCAGATTGGACTCAGACAGTGGCCCTGGAAGATACCCCTTCTTATCCTTATGTGGTTCTCCGCAGCCATCATCCGCTCGCCCAGATGACAAAGGATCGTACTCCACTACCCCATACACTGCTCGAGGAAGTCTCTAACTGTACAGTCTATCTTGTACAGCTCGAAGACTCTCTTTAGCCATGTATGGGGCACCGAGTCGAATGCCTTTCTGTAGTCTATCCAGGCGGCGGAGAAGTTCCGACGGTTGCGTTTCACCACTTTGCCAATGACCGCGTCAATGAGGAGTGGTTCCTTGATTCCACGACCACCGCCCCGACATCCATTTTGAGCGCGCGACATCACCTGATTTGAGTCCAGGTGACAAGTGATTCTCGCGCTCAAAATGGATGTTAGTGTCTTGTATATGGTCGGTAGACACGTGATGGGGCGGTATTTGCTCGGGTCTGTGGTACCCTGGTCTTTAGGAACCAAATGAGTGATCCCAGTAGTGAAGAGGCTTGGGAGCGACTTCTGGTTGAGAGCCTCTTGAAACTGTCGGGCAAACACAGCGTGACACACCATGAACCCCTTCAGCCAGTAGTGATGCAGCCCGTCAAGCCCCGGACTTTTCCAGTTCGGGGCCCTACGGACCGCCTCAGCTACGTCATCCGGCGTTATGATGACGGGGTCCATGGGCGTAATACCCGCACACTGACTCGCCACAACTTATAGACCACAGGCCGCGCCAGAATGCTACAGTGTCGGCCTGATTCGGTGCTGGACCCGTTCCACTTACCATTGGTCGCTCCAATGATTCATAGAGCCTCTTCTGATCACTCTGGAAGAGACGATTCTGGTTGAACCGTGTCGACCTCTCGGTATATCGCCGAATCCGTTTTCCCCAGAGCAGCGATTCTCTGCTTCAGATCATTATGCGCTCCGTCATTTTTTGCGTTATATCCGGCTGGGACAAACTGACATTTGTCCCAGCAAACGCCATCCTGACGGTGCGCACAATTCTTGGCCTGTTGTTGCCTGATCTGAAGCATATCAGTCTGCCGATGAGAGCTCTAGCCTTTGCGATACGTTCCTCAATTCTTCTTCTCCATGCTGGGATAGCGCTACTATGGCCAGTAGCGCGTCCAGCCGTGGAAACCTTGGCGCTTACGATACGGCAGACTGCCAGCGCGGCGCCAAAAAGAATTGAGTCCGTCTCGCAAAGGTCCCGGCTGGCTTCCAAATAGGTCACCAGCATTGGGTTCAGAGCCCTCACGACAGCCCGATTCCGCTTGCTTAGGGCTATGCGGGGAAGTCGCGGTCGATTTTCGAGAGGCGTACTGCGCGTTTCCACAATCGCCTCTTCCAATGTACTCCTCATATGCTCTAATTCCAGTTCCTGGGCGACTGTTCCATCATCGTTTGAATCAACCACAACTGGGGTATTCACAGCGGCATCCACGTTTGCGGGTTGCTCTACCATTTGTGGCGCCGCATCCTCAGCCGTAGCATTCTCATCCGACGAGGGAACAGCCTCACGTCGTAGCCGTTCGAGTTCGGCGACATCAAATATATTTGAGCGCAAGATATACCGAACTCGGTCTGCCAGGTTTTGCTCTGTGACGGTTAAAGATGGCTCCAGCTCAGCAAAAAGACGATGCATCCTAGCCCGATACGCCAAACATCCAGTTTCTCCCCCTTTCGCCCCAAAATACGCCCGCAATGCGTTGCTGTTCATCTGGGTTGTCCAACGCATGCGGCGTACTCCACCAGAGGCGGGTGCCAATTGCTGGGCCCGCGAAGACCCTGCCGACACCAAGCCAGCTGGTGGGGATGATGGATGCGAGGGGCTGCTGGGTGGTCGTGCAGCACCTCGCGCTCGGCTGGCGGTTCGCATGCTGCCGCGTCCAGCGCCAGCTCCAGACGCGCCCTGGCGACCTCCAGGCAGCGGCCCTTTGCGCGTTCTTCCGTATTCCATCATCCATAGTGGTGGGCGTCATTTAGCGGGAGACGCCCAGACCCGGCGCCGTTTCATGGTGAGGCCATGTGCACAAGCGGGCCTTTGCACCTTCAATTTTTGCCGAGGCACGGCACTAACACCTCTTGGCAAGGTGCTGACTGACTGCGCTGACGTAGCGGTTTTGTCACATAACCGTTACGTCAGCGGGCGATGGGGTCGTCACTTCTCTACGCCTTTTTATTATTATTGTTATGTGGGGTATCTATATAGTTTTCTCATCTGGTTGGTTGGGTTCTATAAATATATAATTATAAATTAAAATGAAAAGATAAATATACATAAATATCAATAAAATAAAATAAATACAAAAATACATAAATAAATAAAAGCCCTACCAGATGGAAGCCCTCGGCAGGGTGACCAAACGGCCGAGGGTTAGGGGGATAAAAAAACCGGCGAACGATGCGGGCGGTATCGAGGAGCACCGCCTTCTGCATTTGAGCTCGGAGTGGTCCGTCACGGAGTCCCAGTCGCCTCAGATGACCCGAGAGGCTGACTGGGATTAGCCTATTCGCAGAGACGACTACAGGAATAATTTCCGCCGGCATACCACCCTACATGTCGGTCACCTCGTGAGCCAGGTCCAGATATTTTGTTCGTTTATCTGTTTCGGCTTTCACGAGGTTCTCGTCATATGGAATTGTAATGTCGACCAAAAATACCCTTGACTGTGCCTGGTCCATCAGCACAATATCAGGTTTATTCGCAATTATTATTATGTATATAATATAAGGCCTTGTTAAAAATATCTTCGTAAGAATATATTTGTAACAAATACCTGTAAACAGTTTTATAAGTATGTATTTCAAATAAACCCTCATTTACCTTAAATATTTACATAAAAATTTAAATACATTATGGAAAGCAATAATATCATGAATAAACCCTATTGAATTATGACTACTAACATTTTTTCTTTACTTTAATTGTTTCACCTAAATACAATAGAATAATGATTAATTCAGTAAAGTCTGGTATTTTTATTATTGAAAAATCATAAAGGAGCGTTCGCTTGATGTAGATATTGGGAAGACAAATTGCTCCACTCTTGACTATGCGGGATGGAAGTACATTGTGTTTGCTCTGTGTCCTACATTTTGACCTTGAAGCATTTTCAAATATTTTTATAGGATAAGGGTGACAAGACAGCACACTGTCCGTTTGATGGTAAGTGGGCGCTGTAGCCTATTATAGACATCTATATGTATCCTCAATTAAGAATTAAAATGCAGATGCGTTGTTATCCCTAAATACTAAAATAGAATGCCTCGTTTCCAGTAAAAAGGGTGACTGGTTCTCTACACTCACCATATAAAACAACACTAAGCTGCTATTATACGCTGGTATTCTGTGACAGCGTGGTTCACCCCGGTCGAGCCGACCCATTCGTGCTACAACCATAAAATAACTATAGCGCAGCTCTACCACGTAAATATTTTTGCCATTTCAACTTACTGATCCTTTAAGCTATGACAGTTACTGTAAGTTCTACTGCGGACTTACTCATTTCGAAGTCTTTGACACGTATCATTTTTATACTAAATAATTTACTTATAAAAACAAAGCTCTATCGGGAAGCAACAAAATAAGTTATAAAGAATATGTGAAACGCGGTTATTGCCGTCAGCACTAAGCCAAATAACATAACCTACAAAACATTGATTTCAGTGAATAATTTAGTAGTTGCTATTCGTCTACATCCCTCATATAATTCGACGTGAATGAGTGAACGTTATCATAAACTATTTGTCAAACGAAGCCGTTGCATCAATTCTTTTTGTTGAATACATAAAAATATTTCTTTGTACAAAGACCCGCTTGCACTAAATTAAGACAATGAAAATTAAATAAGCCTTATTACAGAGTCCACCAATTTTGAGGAAAATAAATTTCTTTGTATTAACTTTTCAATTGTATTAAATAGATTTTTTTAACTATTCAGTGACCAGTTAACGTGTATAAAAAATAAAGAAAAATTTGTGTTTTCTGTTATTTTATTTTTAACGAAGTTACGAATGATATATATTTTCTTCGATAAGGATGAAGTTGTTGGTTTATGTCGAAGAAAAGAAATTATTTAATTCGTTGAAACTAACATGAATACATGTTATATATAATTTATATTTTATCTATTAAAATTATTAAAAGTTAAAGTTACAACCTATATACGTCCCACTGCTGGGCACATGGCCTCCTCTCATTTCTGAGAGGGTTTTAGGGCAAGAAAGTGTCCGCCGCGCTACCCTAATGCGTGTTGGCAAACTTCACATTTCATCGAAATCTCTTTTTTCTTATTTCTCAGACATGCAGGCTTCCTCACGACATTTGCTTTCACCGCTAAACACGTGGTAAATCAGCATTTAATATTGTAATTAACAATTCCATTTCTGCCGGCGTGGATCTAACTAGGATTGCTCGCGTACTGTGGAATTTGCAGTAAGCGCTAACCATCTGAGCTACAACGGTTCAGTATTTTTTTAAGTTTTGACTATCGAATGAATTCAACCATTGTCGCCGTCTTTACACGCTTTCGGTATGAGATGGGTGAATGTGTGTGAAACGCTCGATTTTTTACTTCGTGGGCTATATATGAAAACCGATTTTAAAGCTCCAAAAATTATTAAATATATTAGGTAATTTTCTTTTACATTTCTGGAGTTTTTTGGAGTTTACTCTTAAGAATCGTTTTATTTAAAGCGCACAGTGTGAAAAAATAGATGGGTAGTAGGATCAAGCGTTAACAAATAGTAAAGCCTTCATGGTTTTCCTCTACGCAACATATTCTTGAAAAAAAAAACTTATTTTAAATCTAGTAGAACACTAGGGACAGTTAGATGTTATGGTACGTATCAAATGGCTTGATGCGATGTTTCAAGATTTGTAACTCATATAACTTCTGACGTATCATGTATCATATTTTAATTTCCACAAACCTATTGTCTCAGTATTTAACAATGACGTTACTATTCACGAAACAAATAATGTAATACTAGACATATATTTATTTCCTTTGTTTATTGTTAAGACAATTTTCAGGAGTAAACTCCAGTAACGCATCGGAGCTCACACACACATTTCTATTAGACAATTGTGCTTTTGACGTCACGTAAATTCTTTTTAATTTTTACTTGCGATTATTGTCTTCTCAAGTTTTTTTTTTTGTGGAAATAGTGCAAGTGTTTATCCACGTCACAAAAATCTCTCTAAAAACTTTCCAAGTTTATCTTATCTAACTGACCATAGCATATGTAAAGTGGTTAGCATTTTTTCTTTTTGTCGTAAGCTCATCTTTGCGTAAAAAGAAGATGACATTACTTATATCTCGTTAACCGAAGGCGTAAACCAACGCGCACATCACCTATCAATCTGACCTCATTCTTTTAACAAATGTCAGAGGCGTGCTCTCAAGGAAATTGGTATCGCCGAACAATGGCATTTATTTTCCGTAGAAAATAGTAATATACAGATATTGCGTCGTCAAATGTTACGACTGATATTATAGTTATTAAACATCCGATCTCCAATTTGCCATTATCGTTCTACATTATGTACACACATATATATATATATATATATATATATATATATATATATATATATATATATATATATATATATAAGCTAGAAAAACTAAGAAGAACTACTTTAAGGTAAAGACACTCAAAACTGTGGGTGTAAAATATAGTGTGGCTAACATAAGGCAATCTATAGAGGGGCTGAGTTCAGCAGTGAACTTTTATGAGCTGTAATGGATGTAAATAATTACAAAAATAACTACCTTGTTGTTTATTATTTCAATGAATGATAAATTGATCAATCTTAATATATATTAGAGCTAAATTGATAACCTTCGAAAATTCAGTCTTGAAACTTAAACCTTTAATAATAAAAGTCCTTATTTTGAAATTTACCATACTATTATATATACACACTCGTTGATTGCCGCTTAGAGTGAAAAAAGAGTGGAAAAAAATCTAGGTAAGATATTTTCCAAGATGATAAAAATGCTTCGTGGTATTCATTCAGGCCTGGTGCGGGCGATTTCAGTAGTTAAAGTTATGACAATTTATAGTTAAAGTTAAATGTAATATACCTATTTTGAAACATTATAAAAATACTTTTGATAAAAATAAACACAATGGCTTTTAAATATGATTTATTAAAAATATAAATTACATAGCTTAAATTATTTATTATTAAGGTATTAAAGGCGCAATGAGAATCCGTCGAATTTCTCCAGTCTTGTTCGGGTTGACGCAATACACTTTCTCGAATTAAAATTGTCGTCAAGACCATGCATGTGTCACCACGGTTTTTTTCCGGACACGTGGTAAATTATATAACTATATAAAACATAAAACTCCATGTAAGAAATACAGTCATGTCGGGAAACAAACATAGGTTTTTTGTATGTGAAATTTAAGGTCTGAAATTTTAAAATCCTTAAATTTGTAATTTAGCAAGTTAAGTAGAGACATAATTAAAGTTATAAAAATCGAAATTAAATTAAATATAGACAATTAAGGTTTTAAAATTATAAATGTTAATATATGTAATGAAAAGAAAAATTTTGTAAAATAATCTTCATAATGATCAAGATCAGTCACTAGTTACACGATATAGGAATCCGACTCGGAGGGGCGATCTGTCAGCCTCAGCGGTTTAGTATTAGCGTTGACCAGTTTGGGCTACACGAACTTCCACGTATGAAAATGTCTCTATTTCCCCCCGGCTTAGAGCTTTGTGGGATATTTCAACACTATGGCATGCGGAGAATAAGACGATATGAAAGTATACTTCATTTTTGTCTCGGTCTATTGTGTTTCTTCTGCTTAATGTTAAACTTTTATAAATATACTAATATTTTCCTTAGGAAATTCCTCGTCGGATGTTGGTGGCGTATTGTGGTTAACGTGATTGTCACAATAACTTTTTGATTCTTTCTATAATCAGATGAGAAC